CTTTCAATTGCGATGAATTGCGCAGCAGTTTTCTTTACAAATTACTTCTCAGAATGGAGGGTGAGGTATGTTACATTTAATATGATCTGATTCTTCAAAATATTTTCTACGTATTGAATAAATTAAAAAGACACCTTAACTGTATTACTTGTACAAAAAGTTTAAAAAATATATGTCCGTGAATTTTCTCAATAAGAGGCTACTAATTTATTTTTTTGTGTCACAAATTAGGCCGGTTAGGGCCAATTGTTATTAGTCTTGTATAACAGAGACTTTACTTTCATTACTTTCAAAGTATTTTTGGGGGGTACTTCACCATGGTCGACCATACGATTAACAGCAGTGGCGCAGCAACACACGAATTCATTGGCCTTCTTCCCCATCCCGTATGACTGAGAAAAGTAATGGAAAGTCTCGTGATATCAAGCACCAGCAGAGCGAAGTCCTTCAGAAGTTAAATGTATTGTTTCTAATACGCAATTGTTTTGGCGTAATGTTATATTGAGTGAAAAAAACATGATCACTGTAAATTTTTGTAAAAGCTAATATCAGACTGTGTACTGTGTTGCACTTACACTGTACATTTCAGTAATTAATTAATAATGTGGGTGATGTGTAACACAATTCCAGACATTCTATCTGTATCTTATTCCGTACAAATAGTACCTTTCTAGCGATACCATAATTTTCTTAAACGGCCAAGTACCTCGGGCGGAAAAGTGACCACTTTAATAGAAATAATGAATAAGATTTTTGAGAGATGTGATAATTATTTAGATTCAGGTGGCTGCGTTTTTATGAACGTTTTGCATTGCGTACCGTCTGAGTTTAATCTCCTTTTTTTGTTATATCCAAAGTATGTTTCAATTCAGGCAATGAATTGAGGCGATGATGAGGGTTGCCTATGACAAAGAGAATGCTTGACTTATCTCAATTTCAATCCTCACCAAAGACTCATGGTGTGGGGCCACATGGCACATAATGGTCCTGAGCGAGAGGGAATTGTAATAGCGATTAGAGATGTTATTCGAATACGCTCTAGTAGAAATATTCAAGTATAATTATCAAAAGATTAGTTTAAATACGGGTTTCTAAAGATTTTCGATTACTTCTACTGTAGAATGAGGAAGAGAATTTTTGATCTCTGTACTTACTGAATTGCAGTTATAGAAATTGTTGCTTTCCAGGGTAGACGCCATTTCTGTCATATGCCACAGGACGTATTTGTTCCTGTGCAGTTCAGGACTTTACCAGAATCGTGTAGACTAATCATTGAATCATTACTAGTTTCTTCTAACTTCATTATAGTTTCAGTGCTGATAGAAGAAACAAACGTACTGTGACTTTGTCCAAATGGCTTTGAGACAGAAGTTATTCGACGCTTTCAAGGAAGGTGAGTGATAAGTTGTATATTAATTGCTACTCCTTTGCTACCGAATATAATAGTTAGCATTCATAATTGGAGCAAAAATCCACGAATCCTTACTAATGTAAACTGATACATGTGTCTTCCCACAGTGACAATTTATATTGATCAAATGTGGGCGATACTTTCGACAGATTTTTCTAAAAAACTGAAGACGTTCTTCGGCAAAAATTTAAAGTAATTTTTGTGCAAAATTATAAAGGGACAGTTAATACATAAGACTAATTTGTGGTGAAGTATGGCACTTAGGTACTCGTATAGCTCAATCCACTCTAATAACAAATTTGCAGGAGCTACCTTTTCTGTCCTAGTTAAAAACTATTCAGTTCATAATATGGCTACATTCGAAATATCAACAAATCATACTGAATATTTTAAAGTTAAAAATGCGCACATGACAAAAACATATGTCTTAATCAATAATATCAGTGTTACTTTCTAAAATTTAATTATCCTTAAAATAATTCTTCTCTCAAGATTTTATTCCATCAAGAAAATAATAATATACTGCCATGAGAAGTCATAATTCTCATTTTCAGTAACTAACAAACTAAAACTTGAACTAAACTGATAACTGTCTAACTTAGAAACAGTGTTCTCCTTGCATTTTTCTTGAAGAAGCTTTTTCTTGATGAAGAATTTTTGTCATATTTGAAAGTTTTAATTATTAATGAAGGAACCACATGATTATTAGGGAATATTAAAATTATTGAATCCCTAAAATGCTTAAGACATTGTCTTCTCAGATTGCAAATAAAATTAAAAAGTATTAATAAAATTAAATAGTATTTTATGTAATCAACAAAAAAAATGCATAATAATCCTCATGAAACCATGTGCAGATTCTCACTTTTCCTTTTTCTTTTTATTAACAAATATGAATTCATTCAATAAAAAGTGTTAAATAAAATAACAATACTTGGACTTACAAACTCTATTTATTGATGTGTGTGCAGGCTACATCCATACAGCTCAATCTTCAGGACAAGAATCATCGAATGCACTTTGTGCGTACACTTATATACATACAGTCACTAGTTAAGTAGTAACCCTACAGATGCCAGTAAATACAATTTCTCTAATATAAATGTACGTAAATATTCCAACAGAAAGACTTATACAAAATTATGATTGCAAAACTTCTCTACCGATAAAATGTAGCGGACCAGAGGGATACAAAATGTGCAGCAGTAAAATTGGCTTTATAAAAATAAAACAAAGAGTCACAGCAGAGATTAATTCTTATTAATTGAATATCCCAAAAACATTGAAGAGGTAGTATTCAATTAATATCAAGAAAATTATCTGTAGATTTGATACACAGGAATAGTAATTCAGACAAAATTAAAAAAATTAAAAATATGAGTGTTGAATATGAGATAAGTACTAAATACTGGAATTATCTTTGATTTATGTCTGTCAAAAAAAGAAATAGTAGAAACTATATGTCACATATGGGAAGAAGTATAATCTGCTGAAAATAAGTTTTCATTTTTAGTAACAAATTGACTTTCTTTTCAGTCAACAATTACATTGACACACTTTTCTCTGCTTATAATTATTAGTGCATAAGGGAGGAATCAATTCCTCAGTTGTGGTGGCATTTTCCATGGTTTCTTTGAGATCCTATAGGATTTAAATACATTAACATAACTAGAAAAGAGAACTTTAATTATAATATAATTATTTGTGCCAAATCATCAAGATAAAATAGTCTTGAAGAATACCTTAGCTTATTGTGTGTAATCTCAATTTTTTAATACATTTCTTTTGTAAAAGAAATATTCATACACTTAAAACAAAACAGTATGATTTCATACATGACTGCATTAAATTCTGATGTCACATAATTCAAACTTTGGAAGAATTATTTTACAGTAAAAAAAGTGCTTTTCATAGCAGAGCCCCTTTAGAAAATCCTTTTTTTTGTGTGCAGCTGTCAGAATTTCATTTACGAACGTAAGGTAAATGTGTGAAAAGATCTATTTTTCCTTAAATTGTATTATAAGTCTGTAATCATTTTCGTCATAATCAGAAACATTTTTTAACTATGACAGAATATGTTAAAACCAGAGAGTAATCAGATGGAACGGTAATTCATAGTGAAAATTAGGTTAAGTATGTAAGAGTTAAACATGGCAGGAAGAGCAATAAATAACACTGCTGTATTATGTGTTAATGCTGACAGTTTCCTCTAATCAATTAATTAATATTCAAAATTCATTTCATAATTATTTTTGAGCTGTTTGTCATATTAAAATAGTTCCTAAAATATATTGACATTATTTCACTGAATTTACACATTTTGTATTAAAGAACACTGTGTGAAAATAATTTAAGAATTAATATTGTTCTCTTCATTTTATATAATTATTTGGTTTTAAAATTATCAATTTTAAACTAAAATTAAAACAAAATTATAAGTTACATAATTGTTTCTCAATCATGGTATAGTTGTCAAATTGTTTGCTATGAAAAATCTGGCTCTATGAAATGTTTTTTTATTCTGAGAAACAAGAACATAAAGATTCATAAATCTCATATCCCCCACCAGAGACTAGAACAAATGGTTTTAAGCATAGTGCAACTGTTGCAGCATTTCAGTATATACACAAAATGTAATAATCACTGTTAGTATGATTGTGTTAATTTTATTAAAAAAGGCATGATACTATCAACAGTTAAGTACTTCATTTAATATGTACATTCCAGTTTGAATTTGTTTAACTTTACCACACTTAATATATTCAGATCTATTTCTGCTCGATGCAATGTTACTGCAAAATATACAGAGAAAATTTTCATTTGTGTAAACCCTAAATTCTTCAGAAAAGTATTTACGTTATTGCAAACTGTTGACCCATTCTCATAACATATATTTGAAAATGTTTTTTTTAATTTAAAACACTTCTACACTCAAGTTACATTCCTTTAAACACGTTCAGTGTAAATATTGAAACAATAGAGATATCTACTGCCATGGATCTGTATAGACATATTTAAGAAATAGATTTAATGGATATCGTAATCATATATCTTCTTCCCCACTTGAAGAAGAGCATGAAAAGTAAGTAAGCAAGGGAGGGCAGTATGAATGTTATATAACTTACATTTATTCTTAGAGTGAGTTTTTACAATTAGTCACAGTTATATATTCATTCTAGAAGTCATAACAAAAATAAATATAACTATGACAAATATCTTCCATCACATAATTTACATAGTGGTCAGGTACAACTTTTATCTCAATACTTGTTTTTATGCAAAGTGAATTTTTTCCTTCCTTTCAGAAGAAATTGTACTGTGTTCTAATCAAAATATCTGGTATGCTGCTAGAATCGTTAAAATCAGTGAATCGGATCCAACAAATTTGAGAGTTCATTATCTAAATAATAAAAAAAGGTAAGGAATTCTTTGCACATTTTTCAAGCAAGTTGTTTAAAATGGAAGGAATTAAGATTCCAAATAATTTTTGAAAATATGATGATAAATGAACGTTGCTCTACAGATTAGTTTTATCCTTTTTATAAAATCCATGTCTCTTATGAAACATACATTTCATTTGTTTTCAGCAGGGATGAATGGATCAGCAGAAGTTCAGCAAAGAAATACACAAGATCCAACTTCAAGAGATTAAACGTTGCAGGGAAATTTAAAAAGAAGTATGTAAATAAAAATATCACACAGCACATAGCAATGACAAAAAAGTTATAATTAGTCATTGTTAGGTTTTATAATAATTTTCATCATTGTCTGCTTGAAATTTTTGATCTTAGATATGTCGAAAGATCAAAGAATAAGGATGAACCCAATGAACCCGAAGTGTCAGGAACATCCAGGACTTTAGACCATGGTACAAAATTAAAAAGGGATTCACCAAAAATTGAAGAGATCTTTGAAGATGCAAAATATCTGGTACCTTTTATTAGATTATTTACTTTAATTGCTTATACATTGATTGTCTGGCTAATGCAAAGTATGTTACGTATTTTTTAAAGGAACAAGAAGGAACCCAGGAAAGAAACAAAACCAATATAAAAATTATTCAAATATAGTGACTGCTTTTCAAAGGAGTGTTCCTTATGGAAAATACTTATTTTCTGCAACTGATTGTATTTCATTTATGACTGTGAGATAGTTATGAGAAAAACGTATTTCTCTTGAAATTATATTTTAAAACTGTAATCATTTGGTTCAGAATCAGGAACTTCTTGGCTTTTTACAAAATATAATGTTAAAAACCAGAGAGAGTCTGATGGAGACATAATTCATTTTGCCCTGTTTATCCTCTTCGTGAAAATTAGGATTATTAATACAATTACTGAAATGGCAGGAAAAATGCCTTATGACAGAGAACGGTTGTAATTTTCATAATAGTTAAATCAAGTATATGAACAATATCAGTTAATAACACATTTGACAGATTGTTTACTGTACTGGCTGGCCTGATCGGAGTTTTTCTATGGTTTAGCCGATCAACATGACACGAATGCCCGAGAACTACCCTAACAGACCGCCACAGACCGAGCGCGATCTTTCCTTCCTCTTCCTTGTCTTATCCTCGCCTCTTGCTTACATACACACATGCACTACACTACCACACATCTCCGGAGACCAATCGGGAGTTTAAAGCTTGTTCCTGCTGGAGATATGCTCTGCTGGTGGGAGATACTTAGTTGGAAAAAACGCCGTAAGTCGACATGTAGATCAGTGCCGTGTCTCACCATCCAGTGGGTGAAAATTATCGCCAACTCCCGCGTTAAAACCTTTACTGCATTTACAGGACTAATGGCCTTAGCAGTTGATGCGCCCAGGAACATGAATCATCAAGCATGCATGCAAAAATAGCTTCATTTGTATTATTAAAGTTCGTTCTCGGCGTAAAAGCCTCTTAAAAGAATGGATCAAGTCTCATTTTTTATTAAATAGCTGATTGTTCGAGAATTGCTAAAGTTAAAAATTATTGGGCCATCTTCCTCCAATAACAATATTGAAGATAAATATTAGTTTCCTTAACCCTTCGTTAGGCGCGCATTGGTCGAGTAGACCAATTGCATTTTAAGACCTCCATATCTCGCTGAACCGTAGGTGTAAGATTAGGAGACCTCGTGACATCCTAAGTTGGACGATTCTGCACCCGCAGAGGCGAAGTTACCGCAAGATAAATCAGAGGTCGATAGGTCACGTAGCTCGTCCTTCCAATCGCGCGCGACATATGGGATTGCCAGACCCCACGCGCCCAAGGCATTTCGCAGACTTGTTCGGTAGCGTTGCGTTGTGTTCCTCTCACGCCGAATGTTTCGCACATGTCTCTTGTGTTCGTATCTGTTAGTAATATTCTCTCTGCACTATATGTGAGTGAACATTTTGATCTCCCAAAATGCTGACGACTTCGTGGTTTGTTACTCCAACAATTGCTAAGAAGATCCACAATTACTAGTTTTTCCAGAAGAAATTTAACAAATTGTAGCTAAATAAAAAAATAAGGAAAGCAAAATACAATTCCTGTGGAACAGCAACTACAAAAAGAAAACTGTCAGCTGCTACAACGAAAAAAAGTCTCGCACAACATGTACTTGTATAATATATAATAATTTCTAATGTTATGCAAGCAAAACCTGCAATTTTTTGTGAAAACTGTCTTAATGAAAATACCACTGCTAACATAAGTGATTAAGTCTGATAAATAATTATGACTTAGTATTGATTTACACAATGTTCTGTTTTCTTCTTCCTGAGCTAAAATGAACCATCCATTCATTCCTAAAATTCATCATTCATAATATACACAATAATAGCTGAAATTGATTTCTTAGTATATACCATCCCTACACTTCCACAGACAACGTAAATAATAAATGTTCTCCAAAGAGCCATTGAATGTTCTAGAAACCAAGAAAAGTAGAATAGGTGTACTGGAGCCAGCGCCTAACCGCGTTCCAAACAATGGCGCGCCTAACGAAGGGTTAACAAAACCAGGTCTTGAGATAAGTTCATGGAGAATTTTTTTGAAAGTAAATGTAGATTTAGCGTAACTGCCTTCTCGTATGTACAAGGACGTTAAAAATGGGTTCTAATCTATTTTCGGCGATCTAACATTTGTCCGAACTTTCAAAACGTTAACATTGCAACAAACGAATTTGAAGATAGAGATTTTTGTCTTAAAAATGTCATGTATAGTGATTTTGAGGAAATAGTGTTTTACTTAACTTCTGTTAAAAATTAATGTAATTTACAAAACAACATTTACTCAAAAACAATTTCAGATTTTTTCTTGAAATTTTTCCACGAATAGAACAAGGATCCCACAAAATAATGGCGGAAGCGTCATTTTATTTGAAATCCCTGAATTTTAGAAAATTGCAAAATTTAGAAATAATGTGAAAAAAGATATACAGTTGTATCGCCATTATTTTAACAGAACATGTTATTAGCTCAAGCATTATAAAAGGAGGGGGCACAGACGTCCACAGATTATTGTTTCATTGTTTTTATACGAAGATGAATATCATTGATCCTGTTTATGATGTGCTTTTCGATCAGACTATGATGCAATTTATCACAATTTTAATAATTTGCGTTTTACAGCGTTTTTAGGTGTGGATAAAAAATTGAATGATTTCAGTGCAAAACTCAACATCCAGAATACATCAGTTAAATATTTACACTATTTTAAATTTTATTTTAATATTGTTCCATTACTATGTTGGGAAGATACATCGGCCATTATTGGACTTACAAATATATAGTCATTAAAAATAAAAACTGATGTGAGATAATCGTGGTTAATTGACAGACTCACGAAATATATGTTTTTATTGAAATGAAGCCACATGCATGTATAAATTATTAGTTACACACATTTACTCACTGTTCAAAATAATCTAAAAATTCTATAAATGGACAACTTAAAGAGTTACGTTACGAACTGGCCTTTCTAGGAATGTACAGGAACTTAGAATTCTTAGTTTTATTAAAATATAACGTGGAACAATGGTTTTGGTTGTCAGATGATTTATTCTACTGTAATCGCAATCGCAGATATACCAACGCGTACTGCTCGCAATTTTAATTTCAAAAATATATCACTAATACATAGGGCTACCGATAATATAACTAACACCTACAATGTCCTTAAAACTGCGTGAATTTAAGATCACATCTATTCTTTAAAAATGTATCCTTAACGATACTTATTTGAACCCTTTCATAGGAGATTGATATCATAAGATACAGAATATTGATGTAGATAATTAAATGAAGAAGTGGATATTAGAATATTGAAATTCACAGATACATAGAAACATAAAATTTGCAAACAGAACCTTCAGCATCACCGAGTAACACCAAATCGCAAACTTTACTGCCCTGAAAAACACAGAAAGCATTAGGGAAGCTCCCTTCCCCCTCCCATCATCTCCCTCGGCAGCATTTCCATCGAAAGCGGAAGCCGATACTTTCGGACGTCTATTGAATGCCGTATGAATGGCAAAGTGCGGAAGAAAATACAAAAGCCGCATTATTTTTCATTTACCTCCCACATGTCGGAAACCCCGGACCGCGGCAACTTGGCGGCGGGCATCCGATGAATCGATTATCGGACTCGACTCCCGGAACGAAGGGGAACAGGCGCTGTGGAAGCAAGTCAGCGGAACTTGTCCATATTTCACGTCAGTGCTATCCCCTGACCGATGGGAAAGGCGCTGAAAGAGAGAGAAGTCCCTTGCGAATGGGAGAGAGCACGCATGTTTACAAGGAAGTGCATGTGCCTTTATATGAACACACCAATCATAGGAAACGTTCATACTAGAGAGGATTCTAGGAAATCTACCCTATCAGCTCCTGTGTCGCTCGTACTCGGTTGAGAAAGTTGTTTTGTAATAGTTAATTGTGACAGTAAAAATAACAGGAGGGTAATTTTCCTTATAGCGCTGCCAGAATATGTAGGGATCTTGGACGTATTTCGCAGTTGCCCATTCTTGTGTTGGCGGTTGAATGTAGAATTTTCGTTATTTACTTTACTTATATGAATACTAAAATTCTCCGTATGTTTTGGGGTAATGGCCAATTTGGAGAGGTAGTCAAGTCAGAGGGACTTCAATAATAAAATGTTTAACTTGCAGTGTCAGGAAAATGTGTTAAAAGAATGTGTCGCTCTCACGCCCAAATAACAATTGTTAATGTTTTAAAGAAAGTTTGTTTATCGGTTACAATTTTCTTGGGAATTTGTGTAATTTCTTTCCTTTATAGATTCTCAAAAATAAAGCTGTAAAATATTTTAATATTTTTTCGCAGTTCTTCTAAATTATCATCATTGTAACACTTACGATACACGTATTATTAATTGTTCTCCCAGTTACTACCCCTACTTACCATCAAAATCATTTATTTCCTACTAACAAATTGTGTATGGATATGAAACATGTATTGGATATACGATTAAGAATATTTTCAAGTTTGTTTACCAATAATAACTGGTAATGTTCCAAAAGGACATACTTTCTCACATTATTTCTAAATTTGCAATGTTCAAAACTATAGACTTTAATGAAAATGAGACCCGCGCCATTCTTTTGTACATCCATTCTATTCGTGGAAAATTTTAAAGAAAAAATGGAGCGGTTTTTGAGGATATTAGTTTTTTTTCAGAAATTGCATAAGTTTCAAGCACAATTCAAGGGAAAACTACTAATTTTTTCAAAAAATTGCAGATGATCTTTCTTAAAGACCAGATTTTTTAAAGCAGTCTTTGAGGCAAAAATTTCTATCTTCAATTTTGTAGGTTTGAAATGTTTACATTTTGCAATTTTCAAAAATACATAGAGTTCCCCGAAAATTGGACTATCACTGTACGTTTTTCCTTCTTTTGATACGCATGAGGAGATACTTTGAAGAAAAAATGTAAAGCAATTTTTGAGAAACAAATTGTTAAAATAATACATTGCCCATATTTCGCACAAACTTCCAAGAAAACTACTAATTTGTTCGAAAAATTGAACATGACCTTATTTAAAGATCTAACTTTAAAGAACTGATTTCATTACGAATAATAAGGTATTCGTTTTTGACGTAAATAAAAAAATAAATAAAAAGGGAAGCCCCTTCGAACATTTTCAAAATTTTCTCAAAAAGGCACCTATTTAAAAAAAAATATTGTAAGAATAGAGAAACTTAT